CACATAATCATATTTAATCTTCAACCTAAAGAGGGAGATATTACTATCACCAATTACCAGGGAGGAAACTGAGGCATGATAACATTTTAAAAACTTACCCATGGTGACATAGCTATGAAGTACAAATGTGAGATTCAGACCAAATATCTTTGTTCTTACAGCCTGTGCTTATGTCAGATGCTATGTCCTTTTCATATCACACTACCTCCCTGGGTTATAGAACATTCTGGAAATATAGGGAATTACTACTTGCACCCAATTTGTAGAATAAGATTATTTTATTATACTTTAATTATTTGAAAACATATACCTTATAAGTGGTAGAGAGGTCACTGTTAACCAGATCATGAGACTAACCATGCTGATTTCAAGAGCAATAAATTAATGCAAATGAATGGTACATATATTGATCAGTATTGATTGATTCCTTGTGCCACACAGGCTACTGGGGCTTGTATGTTCAGAAAAGGGGTATTGAGTCCAACTGTAATTCCAACCTGGTTTTGCCATCCCTTCTCTTATCACCAGGGGAGATCAGAGAAAATATAGGACATATTTATGCTCTTAGTCATTTCTATAAATTTGTGAAGATATCTTTTTGAAAAAGAAGTAATCTTTTGGATAAATCAAATTTAGGCAAATTGAATTTTTAGTTGCTCTGACATAGGTTGGAATCAGTGATGTGCATTTTTTCTCTCTTATGTAAAGAAGAGAAAAAAATCATCTTGATAAATCTCCTTGACTTTCTTCAAGGTGTTCAGTATCTTTCTGTTTAGAAAAAGTAGTACAGTGCTATGACATAGAGCTGTGACCCTGAGGTTGAAAACCTTATGTTTGGAGCCTAATGTTACCCATGGATTTTTATGGGGGAAAAAAGTATTGAATTCCTACATTCATTAATTTGACAACTGTTATATCAGGGTACAAAACAAAACCCCTCCTCTCATACAGTTTCCATTTTAGAAGGAAAGAGAGAGACAGACAATAAAAACTTAACATATGATATATTTTGGGTATAATTTGATATGTGATGGAGAAAAGTGAAGCAAGGGCTAGGGATGGGATTTGTGCAAGAGGGTACGATTTGAAATATGGTTTGCAGGGAACTCTTCTCTGATGAGGTGACATTTGGTGGAGACCTGAAGAAAGTGAGACACTGAATTATGTAGCTATGTAGGGGAAGAATTTCCCCAGCAGCAGGCCCAGCAGAGTCAATGGCCCCGAGGCTTGAGAACATGGCAGGTTTGAGCAACAGCCGGCTGCAGTGCAGTGCTGAAGGGGGAGGCAGCAGAGGAGCCCGGGAGGAACCTGGGCTGATCACACATGACCTGTGGGCCACTGTAAGGATCTGGCTTTGACCTGTAGTTAGATGGGAAGATGTTGGAGGCTCGTGAGCAGGAGATACTATGTTTAACTTCAATTCTGAAATGACCACTGGTGTTGGATACGGACCAGAATGTGTGTAGGAGAGCGGGGGGAGGCAGAAGCAAGAGGTCAGTGGTGAAAATATACACAGTAATCTGAGAGCTGGCAGTAACTTGCCCAGAATGGTAGCAGTGGGATGATGAGTAATAGAATTCTAGCTACAGTTTGAAGGTAGAAACAATCAAATTTTCTGTGACAAGTGAAGAGAATAGAAGATTCAAAGTGGACTTCAAGATTTTTCTTCAGAGCAAGTGGAAGAATTGAGTTCCCATTTAGATGCATGGGGGGAAACTTGGGAGGACTGTGCGTAGAAATTCAGAAATGTGGTTGTGAATATGTTAAGTGTGCAATGCCCACAGTACATTTACATGAAAATGTTATGTAGATAGTTGAATATGTAAGTATGCACATTAGAGGAAAAGCCCAATTCAGGCACTAGAATTTGTAAGCTGTTTGGGTATGGATAGTTTTTAAGGTCTTGAGACTAGCTTGAATTCATTTAGGGAGTAAGTATAGGTAAAGAATAGATTTAGAGCTGAGCCACAGAGCACCCCAGCGTTTAAATATTAGGGGATAATAAGGAGCCAAAAAAAGAGATTGAAATATTATCTATCTATAAAGTAGTAAAGAGAATACACACACATGTACACACATACGCATCTTTTCTAGGAAACGGGAATTAACAGGTAGGAGTCAGTCTCTGAGAAAAGATGATGGTGAGTTTTTCAGGATGTGCCAGAAAACCCAAGGAAGAAGGGGCATGACATTTCTGCTCAGTCTTTCTGGGATCAACAAATGAGTTTGGAATTTGAGATGAAGGCATAGTGGGTTATATGAAGTATGATAATGAGAAAGATGGCAATGTGATTGGGATAGGAGATATAAACTTTAATGATGTTAGTCTTCCTGTGACTGTTAATGCAATGTCTGTTTTGAAAAACTTTAGCAACCCTACAGATGAATAATGAGAATAAAATGGTGTGCTTCTTTCTCTTTTTTTCCATACACAGGTATATATTAAAATTAGGGTTATATTATAGATACATTGTTGCAGTCTGCTTTTTATTCAATGTAATAGCAGGAAGATATTGGGAAAGTTCTTTTTTCATCATATTTTGATGACAGAAGAGAGGTGATAAGAGAAGGTTGTGTTAGTTTGTGAAATGTCTGGTCCGATATCACCAATAAAAGTAAAATGATGCCTGTGTATATGAGAGAGACTGAGAACAAGGACAATCCTGGACTTGGAGACTTGTGTCTTGGTGACTGAATGATGACTGTGCCACCCTTGGGCACTGAGAAAACAAGAGGCTGAAGCTTTGCTTATTTTTTATGTCAGGGTGCATTCCTGAGTTGATTTCTGTATAGCTGGTGAATTGCTCATTTTTATTACTAGATGTACCAAAAACTGAAAGGGAAGGATATGTGGAAATGCTTTGATTGATAGCTACCAATGTAAATAGGTGGCAAAATTAATTTGTGACAAGTAGGTTGTTTTGACTAAATTACTTGGTTTGGCTTTCCCCACAGCTTGCAGACAACAAAACAATTGCCTCCTATATTTTTTATGTTGTAGGCGTTTAGTCTAGACACACATACCATGGAGATTTAATATAGGGACCTTTCCCATAAATCTGTGATCATTGTGAAAAGTCATTTTAGTTTATCAGTAAAGTGTTATGAGCATGACCATAGCAAAATGACTTCTCCTCTTGACAACTTTTATGGCACAAATCGCTTCTATAATAAATGCTTGATCTGATTAGATTCAGAAGATATTGGTAAGACCAGAAACAGTGGAAGTTCTTTGAAAATAAATGAAATTAATGAAAACAATAGAAATTACATTCACTTGTAATCTGACCGCCATAAATAAAATGTTTGTGTGTGTTTCTGTTTGTGTCTTGCATGCTCTCTATGTATGAGTTCTTGACTGGTGAGCACAATTGGCCAGATAATGGGACTTTACAAGGTCAAGGTCACACATTCCACTGGACACATAGAAACAGAAAACTATGTCATAGCCATCAATTGCATCAGAAATTCCATACAGTTATTTCATGGACATGTGCTCTTGGTCACAGAAAGACTAGCATAGAGAGTTTCAGTAATTTTCATTACACTATTAGGAAAAATAGACACACAACTTTAAGCATAGGTGTCACACACTACAGGGCAACGATGTCAACTTTAAATGTGAATGGCAGCATATATACAGAAGCTCACAAATGTACAAACTCAGCTGCACCAGAGAAAAAGCCCATTTAACTTTAATTCCAGTATTTAGCTGAAACAAACATACTATAGTTCTCATTCACTTTTATTTCTAGTCAATACTTCATTAACATAGAACTTTTGGAAAAATGTTATATTATTTTTTAAATATATAATTATTCCATGTATCTTTGCCATTTGTTATAACTAAATCAATGCATCAGAACATGACATTTTTCAAAATCTATAGCTGCATCTTTACATGTCAGAGTTTGTGAAGTCTGTCAGAGAAATAACACAAGAACATGGAGAAATTCACTCACTATGTTCCTGCCACTTCACATCGAGGGTCATGTGCAATGACAAATACCAAAACTTGCACGATAGATCAAGTTGGGGAAACATTTGCTTTTGATCATTGCATTTTGTTTAAAAAACCTCAGCCGCTGATTTCCTGACATATCCTTCTTTGATTGAGCTACACGGATCCCATAATAAAGTACAAAGCAGTATAAGTTCCTCTGCAAATCTACTCATTATCCACTGGACTTTGGAACCCAACTGCCCCTCTCATCTTTCAAGGAGAATTGTGCTTTTATGCTGTTAATTAAAAAAAAAACAGAAGAAAAGAACAAGACAAAACATCAAGTTCATAATCTCTAACGGATCACCATTTTCATCTGCAGCCCTGACAGTTGTTGAAAAGCAAAAGCAGGAGCAGAGGGAAAGCCCCTTTAGTCTAAAACTCTCTGCTTTAGCAACACCATCCGTGCAAACAGCGTGGATCAGCCTTTCAACATGCAAAATGGACGGAGGTACCCAATTTTCTTTAATAATAAATTAAATACAAAGTAGTTCTTTATGAGGGAAATCCTTTGTAATCTTCCAATGTCCCCCTTTAAAAATTAGATTCTGGCTATCACAGCACATACACCATGGGAAAAATTATTTATCTAACAGGTTTCAAGTCTTAAGGACAGCATCCTCTTTATTTTTCTTGGACCTTTTTGCCCCCCACCCACCAAAGTCTTCACTTAACCCTACTAACAGCCCAGCTGGCACCACAGATAAGAAGCAAACTGCTTTCTCCATGACCTCTAAGCATTCTACTCCACGGGAAAAGCAACGTGGAATGCACACTCAGCAGGCACGGAGCCACTTTGTCCTCGAGGCATTTCTGCCATAAAACACAATACTATCCACTGTGTTTTGCTCTAAGCAGATCCGTCTCCCACTCCCCTCTCCCCGCTTTCCTGCTCCTCACTCCGCACCTGGCTGCAATTCACAACCCACTGGGCACAAAGCAAACAAAAAAAGCAAGAAACAGCAACAGATCCCTTTGTTTGACATGCAAATCTTACCTCCTGTAGTTGTCACATCTTCCTCAAAAGCCACGCTTAATTTTTAAGGACAGCGATCCAGATCCAGTGCAGTCCTCCAAAGAGCCACCGGTAATCATCATTACCTCTCGTGCCTAAAGCTTTTCTGGACCACTAATGTCACAACCCTTGCTAACTCATAGCTTTAATACTCCCAGCTCAAAATGTCTGAAAGAGTTTGGAAGGACAATAGGAGTGACTGGCACGCTAGACAGCCATGCTTGAAATTAGTTATCTGAAGCTCTGTTAGAGCTGCTTCATACTGTTTTTAAAGCGTACAGGAGGTAGGATTATTAGCCTATGATAGGCATGCTGTTTCTGTTTTTATTAAATACTGTAATAGGCTGTCTGTTAGCAATGCTGTGATAGGTCTAGCACGCTTCCCCACTGCTTTCGAATTCTTACATTAAAAAGGGAGAGAAGGCTCAGACGTCCTTCCGGGACTGACAGACACCACCCTGCCTACTGGATCAGATTTCCAACTCCCCTTTCACTACAGGAGAAAGCATTCCTTTTGCAAATAGGTATTTTTACTCCGAGAGTGAAGTTGGGAGTAAATACTCTAGGATTCCCCAAACAATTCTCTCACTCCCAATAAGGGACTGCTACTCTTCTGTTACAAAAATAAGCATTCTCCAGAGTTAGGTAAGAGAATCAATCCCAACAGGAAACATTCTCATCATCACTGAGCTAGGATTCAGCATATTACATTTTGTATAAAACTTCAAATTAGATATCAAATGGCCAGAATGGATCATGAGCACATTTATTGTTTCACGCTGATGGACAAAGCTTGTGTTCCAGTTAGAAGCAATCATATGCTGTGCACTACTGTGCAAATGGGTTGAGGGGACGTGCACACTACCTTGATCCCCTTTGGACAGTCTTGATCACTAAAGGTCCAAGAGGGGTTTCTTACCATTGGTCAGAGACAAGGGTATTATTTACTTCCTTGAAATGCTATTCTGAAAAGTACTAAGTTCTTTTCCAAATAAGAAAGTAGAAGAAAAGTTCTTGGTAGCTCACAATAACATAGAGAATGTGTTACACTACAAGTGCCCAGATTTAGTCTTTTTCTTCTGCTGGTCTTTACTCCTGCTACCCCAGGAGTGATAGTTTGTAATAGTTACTATAGAAACCAAGTAGTTCCCCCTTAAGGGAGAGGCTTAGGGAGAGTAGCAGATGGAATAAGAAGGGAAATGGAAATGTAGAATACTGGCCTATAGAATTGAAAATGAGGTGCAATTAACAAACAAAAACTACTGCAAAACAAAATCTCAAGGGAAATGGTCACCAATCACCACTATTTAATTACTAATAGTTTTGTGATCTAGAAATACTATTATGATCATAGTATCCATTATTTTATTATAAGAGAGAACTGAATATCTGAATTGCTCAGTTGTCTGATAAAGAAAATATACTTCTTTTCTTCTTTCTGTTTTTTTTTTTAATTCTTGGTTTGGGTTTGAATATGCCCTGATTGTTTTTGAATTTTACTTTTTACTTTACTGGTCATAATTTTTTTCTCAGGAATAAGGTGTGATTTAATGAAAAAATCTCTTTGTATCACAAACTGTAACACATTTCATTCTGATTGGGTATCTTTATAGTGGTTCCCCTATATCCCCCAAATCAGAAAATACTTGTAATTGTAATTTCAGAAAATAATTCTGTTCCCATTATGTTTGTAAGACAAAGAAGACTTTTTAAAAAATTTTCAGTTCTTCAAATAGAAAAAAATAATATTTTGTGTTATGTCCAAAATCTTTCACCAGCCTTATAATCCTATTAACTATTAGCCCCATAAACTATTTCTTAGCCAAGGAATTAAATGTTCACAGCTGTAAGGAGTCTGGGAAGAGCAAAATTATTGTCTTTAGTTCCTCAGTTTCACAGTTTGTAATGTAAGTATTCCATCCAAAAATTTGGATAAGGAGTATTTCAGGGGAGAAGAATTTATGATATTCTCTTTATAAAATGATGAGAGAATAATATTATGAGCTGTATATCCCAGTTTTTTTTCAAATGTAATAAGGGTTTAATTGACAACCTGACAACCTAGACACCATTAACAATACCACAAATAATTTGGGAGACAGAGACAGAGAGAGAGAGAGAGTGAGAGAAGAGCTCCCCAGTTGGATACTTTTCTCCAATATTAATGTGATTAATTCAGAAGACAGATGCTAATGACACAAGAGATAAAGATAAGATTTTGTTCCTGGGATGAAATAAGAGGGATTGCAGCAAAGACACTCAGTGAAGTCCTTGGAGAAGAAGAAGTCACTTGACCTCTCTGAGGATGAAGGAGTTTACTAGAAAGGGCTGTTCAGATGGGGGTTGGGGTGGGGTGGGAGATGGTTTGTTGAGTAATGGAGGAGGAGCAGAAAGTGAAGGAGAGAAGCTGAAGGGAGGGAAAGAAGAGGAAAAGATCTACGAGGGAGAAAGGAATTTCTTAAGGTAGCATCATATTCGAAGAGGACACAGTTTTTGAAATAAGGAGGCCTGACTTGTTTCCATTAGTCTATTTAAGCCTCAGGTAAAATGGAATGAAGATAATATATATGTTGTAAGACCATATATGATAATCAGACAAGGTACGTGAGAAGGTAGGAGTAAAGCTCTTTGCTGGTTATCACTGAGCAGGAAGTAAAAGGGAGAGGAATTCTTAAAGAGGGGGTAAGGGGCACACTAGGAAAGAAGAGGAGAAAAGAAAGAGTAAAATGAAAAGAAGGCATGATTAGGAAAGAGATTGAGGGAGGGGAAGAGAGAAGAATGCCAGCTGTTAAATGTATAAGATAGAACCTCTTGTTTTTGTTTTGCTTTCTCCCAATAACTATTACTTTAATTCCCTCCCTAATAATGAAGTTTCAGATAATAATGTGTCTTTGGAGTTCACCTGTTCATCAACAAGAGAAACCTATGCTGAATTTGTTAAAACCATGTTCTACCATTTCAAAAACAGCTGATCTGAAGATTGAATTTAGTAATTCTTAGCATTGTGTTTTTGGATGGCTCCCTGGAGAATGAAGTTTGGGGCAGCAGAAGGCTAGAACTGGAGTAATATTTCAGAACTATATTACCAGACACATTCAGCAAGAGCACTATGTGCATCTGTAACTTGGTAACATTTTCAACAGCATCTGCTCTCAGAATGCACATTAGAAACGAAACAAAACAAAAAAGTGCCTTGTTCTGGAAAGAATTTGTGTATGTTAACAAATATCATGTTGAGAAATAGAGTCTGGGCCAGCATGATGTGAACACACATGCAGAGAATTTTCAGTTTACATGGACAGCCCTCAAGTTAAGTGGTTTAATGAATGGGACGATGAATGCATAATTTCATTATGAGTCATCACTATTAAAATGAAAATTTGATAGATACATAACCAGAAGGTGTAGCTATCTGTTACAGCTACAAGTGCTAATTATATTTTGGAATATATAATGTATGCTCTGAGTAATACAGAGAACAACGTTTTTTGCCCTGTTGTGACTATTTAACTAGGAATAACAGGATAGTTTAGAAAGTGCTTCTTTCCTGTTACATTCTTGTAAAAGCTGAAGCCAACTCACTTTAAAGTCCCAATTTAATTCATAAAAGAGACATTCTATAGGCAACATTTGAATTCTTAGCCCTAAAAAGTAATTAAAAGAAAGCATTTGAAGAAATTCTGACATGAAAGCCCTGTGTCTGATTTCCAAGTCACAGTGAAGTGTCTTTCATTTGTCCACCACTTTTCATAAAGATTTTCCTTCTGATTAGAGATTTTTAAAAAGTTTACTAATGAGCCCTAGCTGGCATGGCTCAGTGGATTGAACGCTGGCTTGGGAACCAAAAGGTCACGTGTTTGATTCCCAGTCAGGGCACATGCCTGGGTTGCTGGCCAGATACTTGGTTGGAGGTGTGTGAGAGGCAATAGATTGACTTATCTCTCACACATTGATGTTTCTCTCCCTTTCTTTCTCCCTCCCCCCTAAAAGTAAACAAATAAAATCTTTTTAAAAAGTTTACTAATGAAGTGACAATTTCTAAAGCTTTACATTTATAGGGTAAATTTGCACACATTATATTTGATCCTTAGAACAAAGTTATTGAGTGGCAAGGCAAATATCAAGTGTCATTTACATCTGGAGAAACTGAGGATGACGGAGGTTAAATGATTTATCCCAGATCACAGCCAGTAAGTATGTCTTCTAACTCATAAACCAGTGTTATTTTACTTCATGAAACTTTATATCTGGCTCCTTATACTTTACCTAGAAATATCTAGAAATATAAGCACCAGAAGAATTTTTTTAAAGTGGTAAAAAAGGATAAATTGGAGCTTACTGACATATATTTTTCTCTTTCTATCTGGCAAAAATTCATGCCTGGTTATTTACCTTTTATTTTATAGCTCTTTATGTTTTCAAGGTAGCCATTGGTAAACATTTTTAAAAAGATAAACTATAGATTTTCCCAATTCTTCTAACCACAGAATCGACACAGAATATAATTCTACACTAATGGTGGCAGCTGAACAGGACTCTCTGATCTATGGGCTATAAGCACAAACTCATCTAGTGAGGCTGTGATTTGAATCATCTTCTTGGATTTTTTATTGCGTATCTGTCTGTCTTCATTAAAATTAGGATGGAAAATCCTGCAGGAAACCCCTCCTTCTGTCAGCAGTTAATCCTGTCTGTAGGTTTCAGTGAATTACCACTCTGTATGGGTGGGGTCGAAATGGAGAAGGGGGTAGATAATAATATAATATACACATTAATTAATTTATCTGAATTTACAGACTAGGAGAAATATACTCCCTACTATGCCCCTCCCACCACCAAACCCACTGAGATGCTGAGCCCTGGACTAGATGCCATGAGAAATCACTGGCACAAGCTAGCTTAACCAACTTTCTGAAGCCATCATTCTGTGGCTGAGCCATTGCACTTGGCAGATGGCTTACTGGGCTGCATTGCCATTCTTCTGAAGCCTGTCAGAGTACTGGACATAAATCAGCTTTAAAATAAAACATAAAATAGAATATTGACAGTTGCTTGGATTGTATTTTAATTTCCTTCCTGGGGCCTAGCTGCAACCCTCCTGCTTCCTGGAAACGTGTGCTACCCTCCAGGCATGTCTATGTGCAGTCAGTGAGAAGATGATTGCTGTTTGATGTTCTTATTAATGCTGTGACTTACGGTGCTGCAGTACTATGTACCCTCCATGCCAGTAGATATGGTACCTGCCGCTTTCAATGTAAGTTAATTAAAACAAGGTTGTCTTAAAACCAAAACAAGACAAAAGAAAGAAATCCCTGGTATGCAGAAGGCCTCAAAGGTTGGGTACAATGGACAAAGATTTATATGTTTGTTGGTGTT